AGTAGTAGTAGTAGTAGTAGTAGTAGTAGTAGTAGTAGTAGTAGTAGTAGTAGTAGTAGTAGTAGTAGTAGTAGTAGTAGTAGTAGTAGTAGTAGTAGTAGTAGTAGTAGTAGTAGTAGTAGTAGTAGTAGTAGTAGTAGTAGTAGTAGTAGTAGTAGTAGTAGTAGTAGTAGTCGTAGTAGTAGTAGTAGTAGTAGTAGTAGTAGTATTAGTAGTAGTAGTAGTAGTAGTAGTAGTAGTAGTAGTAGGCGCGGCTTCTCTGTAGGTGGGCGCGCGCGGTCCAGCCAGGCGGTAGTCTCCCATAGTGGGATTGGTCGGGTGGGAGTGTATCGCCTTGCTTGCCCGTTGGTGGGTCACTGGGGCCGGGGAAGCTGCGGCTGGCGCAGGAGGCGGAAGGCGTTCAGCACAGGGGTTGATGTGGTTTGGTGGAGTTGTGGAGTGGAGCGCCGCTGAATGATCTGTTGGTCGGTGCGTGCAGTAGTCGCGCGCGCTGGGCGCTGTGCTTGTCGTGGCCGAGCTTCTGGGAATGTCGTGTTCCGAAATGGGAAGTTGTTGTGGGTCCAGTTGATGGGCTCGAAGCCGGCGTTGCGTAGTTTGTGGCAGTTGTAGAGAAGGTGACGTTTGCTGTGTCTCTCCACGTCGTCAATGAGATGCTGTCTCGCTTTGTTGGCATCGGTGTCGCATAGCTTGTCAATGCCGATGACCTTTGTCTGCATGATGTCGCCAAGTATGATCTCGGCAGGCTGCTTATACTCGGGCGCGTCGTAATCATGTCGCTGTCTAGTCTCGGTGGGGGCGTCCCCGTCGGGGGTGAAGTCCACGTGGTGAACAATGATCTCCCGCTTGGTGGCCTCGGCGTGGATGTTGGTAGTTCCGTCGACCTTCGCTGTGCAGGTCTCCGAAGTGGCAGTGACGTCCTGCAGAACTTGCGCTGGGCATTCGATAAGGGCGTCGTCAATGATGGTGGGCCGATTGAACAGGTCACTGATTGGCGCGTTCAGCTTGGGATCGCAACGCGATCGATCTCCCTGGTTGGTTGTGGCGGCGCGCGGTATGCCCAGTTCATGTCGATAGCAGAGCGGTGTCCCGTTGGTGCCATAGGTAGACTGGCGCTCGTCGTCCTCTCGGTCGGTCTCGTCACAATGTAGTCCACCTATTGCTTGTGGCGCGACGTGGTGGCGATCAATGGGCAGGATGTAGTTGTCCGCGTGCGGGCGTAGTGCTCCTCCTCCGCGGGTTCCAATGATGTCTCTTGCGTATGCCGCAAGCATCCCTATCTCAGAGTTCGGATGCAGGGTGCCGTAGATGTCGGTGATCGCAACGCTGTAGGTATTCTTACTGTAGCGCTCGATGTTGCTGCGACTGGCTCTGCGCTCTATCTCCTCGAAGTTCTCGCGCTTCCACATGCCCGTCTGTTTTGAAGCTGTGTAAGGTCTGTAGGTTGGTGAACGGCCCTTCGTCTTTGTTCTTCCGCGGTGGTGCTTGGAGCTGCGCTGGGTCTTTTCTTGCGAGTGACAGGATGTCCTGCCTTTCCAAGTTGTGGACGGGTATCTTCTTGGGATCGCGGTCGTTCGCAGCGTCTTCTGGTGCGCGGTACTTGGCTGCCGAGCGGTAGCGCGGGCAATTGTCAGGTCTGTCCATCCAACGGTCCGCGTCGGTCCACATGTCGTTGTCGGAATGGACCAGAAAGCTGTCGTAAACGGTGTCCCAGCTCTCCTTGACCTTGTTCTTCCAGCATTTCCCCGTTGCGGCGACGTAGGCAATGGCGATGTGGTGACGGTAAGTGGTTCGCGCAAATCCGCCCTCCACTGCAGCGGGAACGTAGATTTAGCCCAGGTCGAGGTCTACGGACTATAGTGGCGTGTGAGGGCACCTTGTGGCTCTGATCGTGGGTCTCCTGGTGTGTAGATGAGCGCTTTCTTGTTGTCGTAGCCCTTGCTGTTGGACATGAGGGTAGGCATTCCCTGTTCTTGGTACTCTGGTGGAGCCTCGCTCCGTGTCTTACGTGAGGCTGCGTTGATGGTTGCGACCCGTTGTTGGTTAGCGTGGGCAAGATCTTTCACTCCGCTGGTGCAGTAGAGCTCGACGTCGTTGAAGTCGATTAACTTCGGTAGTTTGCCGAAGACTTCCGCGGGTATCCAGACGTCTTCGTCTTGATCTTCTTGAGATAGGATGGTGCGCTGGGATGTAGGCCCAGCGGAGGCTTCATGGTGTACTGTACGTGGCAATGAGAGGGGCGCGCTGGTCAGCTTAGGCTAGACTCTTGAGCCGAAGCTGGGCTACGGTTGGTGAGATGTGCACTGGAGTTTGCTGGTGGTGTGGTGTGATGTGACATTTTTAACAGGGTGAGCGATCGGACGCCACGGTGAGGCGTGCCAGAACCAATGCCAAGGTAACAGACTGTATCCTAAGCAATGGACCGCTGTGGCCCGCATTGCGGGGTGGCCACCGCCCGTCGGGGTCGTACTGCTGTGCTTCATTGCCTCATGTGAACGTTTAGCATGTAGTCGTTTCCTTTCTGGACATCGTAGTACGGGTCCAATTGGATGTAGAATCCGCAATGTCGTCTTCCATGTCCTAGTGTCCTCCTCCTCGTCCTCCTCCTCCTCCTCCTCCTCCTCCTCCTCCTACCCCCCCCGCCCCCCCAACATGCCCCCCCTCGCACGACGGCGCTTCGGCCGTCCAGCCAGGCAGGCCTCCACCCCGCCTGGCCCAGACCCGTGGGCTGTGCCTCTCCCCTCGCTCCGCCCAGCACCTGCATGCTTGGCTTCCGGGCAGTTCCACGGGGGGGGGCCACACGGGGGGCCACCACCTCCACGTGGAGATCGAGGATCGAGGAGGAGGGAGGGGGGATGGAGCACCGAGGAGATTCTGGACGGTTTTCTGGGTGTCTCTGGGGGTCCTGGGAGATTCTGGGGGGGGTCCAGGGGTTGTGTTTCGTGGGGGACTGAGTGGTGACTCCTCCCTGGGCACTGCCCGGGGCTGGTGTGCGGGGGGAGGGCCAGCCGCTCCGGCCCGCTCACCGCGGAATTCTTCCGCGTCTGAGCGCCTTCTTCCTTCTCCCCAGGCGCGGGCCGCCCTCTCCTCCTCCCCGTTCTCTTGCGCGCCGGACAATTTGCCGATCGGTGCCCCCGATGAGCCCGACGCTGGTGCGGATCGCCTCCGCCTCGCCGCCGACGAAAAAAAGCATGTGGGAGGGCCTCCGCAGGTTCGTCGCCGACCGCAGGCCTCCAGAGGCCCCAGGGGGCACGGAGAGACAGCCCGAGAGGCGCCCAAACGGCTTCGACCCTCTGGCTCCCTGCGCTCCCATCCGCCCCTCTCCTTTGCGGCGCCCCTTCCCCCGCGCGGGCCCTGGGGAAGCGTACGCTCCTCGGCGGCCGGGGTGGGGGCCCTTCTCGGAGGAAGCGCCGCGCTTCCTCCGAGTGGGTCGGCCCGATCCCTCGGGCCCGAGGAGGCGCAGCGGGCGACGAGGCGGCCTCGGCCCTCCGGAGGCTCGCACACGGTGCGCGGACCACACCGTGTGCCACACGGCGCGGTGGCCACATCGTGTGCCCTGGATCCGTGCTGTCACCCCGAATCCCCACTGACTGGCCTCACGGCGTGTGGCCAGTCGCTGGGGACTCGGGGGGACTCGCTATCCGAGGATAGGTCGGGCGACTGGGGCCACCAGGATCCCGACACACTCCGCGAGGTGTTGCTGCGGGCTTCGTGACACCAGCCAGTTGCCAGCGAGGAGAAGTACGGTAGTTTAGCCCAGGCGTGCCGAGTCCGTGGCTCTGCCGCCTTGCCGGACCACCTCGAACATACATCTCTGGATGCTTTGCCGAAGAAGCATCCAGGGATCCAGGATCCCGAAACCGTGCGGTTACGGGCCGTGCGGTGAGGTCTTCTTTGGGATGATCTCGGGGGCACCACATGGACCGTCGCCGACGCCAGAAAGCGCGGGCGTGCGCCGAAACGGGCGGCGAGAGCGCCACGCCGAGCAACCGCCAGGCACACCTCCAGCCGCCCTGGCGGCATCTCGTGCACAGAACTCGGCTACACTTGCGGGTGGCCTTTCGCCAGAGTGGCCTCTGGTGCGGGCACATTGGGGTCCCCGGATGATTGAACGCGATGCGATAGCAGCTGACTGCGCCCTCGGCCTCCCCGCAGCCCCCGAATGTAGCGCACCGAAGGCCACTCCGGCCTGGGGTCACTCTTGCGAGCAGCCGAAAAACTGCGGGTGGCTGGTGTCTGATTTCGGAGAAGAGAGAGTGCATCCACAGAAAGTGCCGGAGCTCCGCGCGGATTGCTTGGATCTGCCTTGGAAGCCCCTGGCGGCGCCTCGGGCGCAGCCCCTTGCGCGATCCGCGCTCCAGGGGAGGGGGTTCCAGCGCGGAGCCAAGAAAGCCGCGCGGAGTGCCGACAATTGATTTCATTTCCTGTTTGACCAGCCTCGACCTTCTTATCCCTACCCCTAAGGTTGACAAGCCCCAAGGCCCCAAGGCGATGACAATCTTGGGTACAGTCAACCCGCATAGTAAGTAGAGCCTTTCCAAGGTGATCCTTTCATGTTTCCCCTTCGGCCCATCCTTGGCCGCTTTCGCTGGCCGCGCCCCGCTCGGTAAGTGCCGACATGGCCTTCAAGGGCCCTCGCATCCGTGTTGGGCGTCCTTCTTGTACGGGTTGGCTGGGTGTGCCTTCAGAAACTGAGAACCTTTTAGATCGACATCGAAACGGGATCCCGCAAAGGGTGCGTGTGTGTGTGTGTGTGTGCTCCAGTGTGTGTGTGTGAGAGAGAGAGAGAGAGAGAGATCGGTTTGGGCACCGAACCGACCACAGCAGATGCCCCCCAACCACCGGCAGCTCCCGATAGTTGCCGATAGGTGGGGCATGCTGGGGGCACATGTTTGCGGCAGTTCGGTGCACCAGCAGATCGAGCTCGTGCCCCCTCTCAGGGTCCCCCCCCCTTTCTGGTGGATCCCGATCGAGACGCGGTGGTGCTTCCCCCCCCCCTCGAGGTGCTGACCTTCGGGCTGCTCGGGCTGGCGGTGGCCGCCCTCGGGCCCGGCATCCTGGAGCCCCCGCGCTCTCCGAGGGCGTACTACCCGTAGGATGCGGCTGCCCTCGTCTTCCCCGCTGGCTCTCGCACAACAGAGAGCAAAGACTGTGGGGGCTCGACCACAAGAAGCCTTCCACAAGAAACCCAACCCCGAGACCCCAGGACGTCCATGGATCTTCTGTGTGGGAACGTCACGCTTCCCCATCGCAGAACCATCGAAACCCAAGAAACCCAGGGCACCCTGGCGGCAAGCAGGGTGTTTCCTGGCATGGGTCTCTTCGGAGCTCCGCGCGGATTTCTTGGATCTGCGCTGGCACCCTCTCCCTGGGCGCTGCAGGCGCAGCCAGGGGGGCCCAGCGCCGATCCCAGAAGTCCACGCGGAGCTCCGAAAGCTTCTGCTTGTGCAGCTTTTCGTTCCTAGCGGCTCATCGCATCGTTTTTCCGGCGCCGCTACGCAGCGCAGCAGGGCGCCGCCCCATTATTTTTTTTGGCGGCACGGCGTGCACCGCCGCCGTCGTCGCCCTGCTCCCCCTTCTCGGGGCTGGCGCGGGGGCTTGGCGAGACCGGGTGGCCCGCAACGTAGTCTCAGGAGGGGGAGGGAGAGGAGGAGGGGGGGGTGACAAGCTAGGTGCGCTCGCGTCATATCTGACATCCTACCCCTCCCTCCCATCCCTTACCATAGCGCAGATCCCCTCTCTACTCGCACAGTCGGATGTCAAGCAGGGCGATGATCCCGAAAGGGTACGCGATGCATTGTAGAGCACGGCATGGCATGGCGTAGAAGAGCACCGCGAAGCGTAGTATCAACCTAGCATTGCATTGCATGCCGTGGCATGGCACGGGAAATGACGCCAGCGCTGCAGCGGGAGCACGAGTCGAAACGAGCGGAAGCGCGGAAATGAGGCCAGCGCTGCAGCGGGAGCACGATTCGGAACGAGCGGAAGCACGGAAATGAGGCCAGCGCTGCAGCGAGAGCACGATTCGGAACGAGCGGAGCCCGAAAATGAGGCCGGCGCCTCTGCGAGAGCAGCATTTTGGGAAAAAATGCCAGCGAAAACCTAACTCCGGGGAAGGCTTCCCGGGCGCCAGAACCAGAAATTCAGCATTTTCAAAAGAACAATTTCGGCGCCGCCTCGGAACTCGATTTTCCGGCGCCGGCCGGAACCGGCTCCGGACCCGGCCCGGGCGCCGGCCCGGGCGCAGGCTCGGGCGTCCGGCCCGGGCGCCGGCTCGGGCGCCGGCCTGGGCGTCGGAATCGGCCTGGGAGGCCTCCCGGGCGCCGGAAGCAAAAATCCAGCATTCTCAAAAGAAAAGAATGGCCTTTTTTCGGCGCCGCCGGAACCGGCTCCGGACCCGGCCCGAGCGCCGCCCCGGGCGCTGGCTCGGGCGTGCAGCCCGGGCGCCGGTGGAAATGATTCAGGAAGGGAAAAAACACACAGACACAATTATTCGTCGATTCCAATGAAAATATGGGAAAATATGGGAAGTGGGGGGGAAGACAGAAACCCAGAAAATATGGGAAAACATTGGGGATATTTTTATTTATGTGTATTTATTTGTGTGTCCCAGGGCCCCTTCAATGATGCCAGCGCTGCAGCGGGAGCACGATTCGGAACGAGCGGGGCCCGAAAATGAGGCCGGCGCCTCAGCGAGAGCAGCATTTTGGAAACAAATGCAGGCGAAAACCCAACTCCGGGGAAACTTGTGTGCAAAAAAACAGTACGCGGGGGGGGGGGGGGGGGGGGCGAATATTCCCAAGACGTCATCAGGGGAAGAGGGAGAGTAGTATTCATGTTAAGTAATTGTGGAGGGAGGAGCAGGAGGAGCTGCAGGAGATGGGCCTACAACAATCTCGTTGCCGAGGCTCGACTCGGCTCGATGGGGGATATCAGAGCGACGCCCAAAGAGTAGACCAGGGAACGATTTTCAGAGGAGGCGTTGTCATGGGACGGCGCACGCTTGGGACAGGTAAACTTGGGGCTTGGAGGTGCATGAGGAGGACGAGAAGGAGGAGGAGGAGGAGGAGGAGGAGGAGGAGGAGGAGGAGGACGAGCAGGAGGAGGAGGAGGAGAAGGAGGAGGGTGGGTGAGCCAGAGGGTAATTGTCTCTTGCGTGGGAGAGGTGAGAAGCAGGGGGTTAAAATGGGCCGCTTTTTGAGAGGAGTTACCTATTCCTGCTCCTGCTCCGTATCGTTCAACTCTCCTTTTCAATTCTCCCTGCACCAACAATCCGGATCAGGTCAATCCTTGGCCCAGGATGAGCATTGCCAGAGCCGGTGTTGGTGTATAGTCGGGGTCTTCAGTTTGCGCGCTCATTGCCCTCCAGAATGGCCCTGGCCAGGGATGGTGGTGCTGTATTGCCTCGTGCGGAACCTTGATCCTCGACCCTCCCATTCACCGGGGCCCGTGCTCCATCCAGAATTGTTTTTTGGATAGAGCGGCTCCTGGAGGCCGAACCTGGGGAGTAAACGCCGGGATTGACAGTTCCATCCGCCCGAAGCCTGGGATCCTCGATCTCCTCCCTCACGCCAGCCTCGCGGCCCGCCTCGGAACGCCGCTGGGGTGACGCCCCCGCCAGGTTGGAATATAACAAGTCCGGCTACGCGACAGGGTGGCCCTTCGCCGGAGGGACCTCGTCAGTTGCGGGCCCACAGAGGTGTCCACCCTGCAGGGGCCCGCGCGATTTTGAGGATGGCTCGCCCGCGCGGCCCCTGCACTGCGAGCGGCGCACATATCCGTACAGTCGACCCGCATGGTCAGGATGGGCAACCTTCCCAAGGGTACCATTGCATCCTCCCTTCCTCGGCCCATCCTCGGCCACTTTCGTTGGCCGCGCCCCGCTCGAAAAGCTTCGAGATGGCCTGCCAAGGCCCTTGCGTCCTTACCGTGCGTCGTTATGATACGGGTTGACTGTAGCCCCGCCCTCGCGGTCTGGGTTCCGGAGCGCGACCCCGCGGACACGCAGCCGCATGGATGCACTCCGCGTGGGGCCTCCACGGAGAAGCGCCCCACATCCGTGGGGGCGCGGTCCAGGGGCCCAGCATGCGAGGCCGCGGATCTGTTTCCCGCCCACGGCCTCACGACGCGCACCAAAGGCCCATCCTGCCGAGGGTCCCCCCGGCACTGCCGACGCGTCGCCGACGAAGCTTATGCATCGCCGACGACGCCGATGTATTGGCGATGCGGCGCGATCCGCCGATCCCACCTGCTCGGACCCCACCAAAGGTCATCTCCGCCCAGGCCCACTCCTGCGCGCAGCCGATGAGTTCGGCGCAGGGCTGCCTGCGCCGCCTCCCTCCGCAATGGCGGGCGGCCGAGCGGCGGCGCTCTCGCGGCCGGGCGCGTCCCGCGGGCGGCCCGCGCCGCTTTCCGGGCCTCTGCGGCGGAAGCTGCCTCGGGCAGAAAAGCAGCCTCGGGGGGCAGCGGGGGGGCCACCACGCTCCTCACCTGCGGCGTCGTCGTCGTCGTCGTCGTCGCGACGGCGTTCATTTAAGTGCTCAGGCTCCCGCCCATCCGCCTCGTCTTTGCAATGACTAGTCTCGTCTCATTGAACAATCGGTGTTTAGTCGCACTCATATGTATATGAGCGAGATATGTTGTCCTCAGCCTGCATCGTAAGTTTTGTTTCTTCATCGGCCTTTTGGCCAGTATCTTCCCGTTTGAGTGTTTGGGATTCTGCGTGTGCCGTTGCCGCATCGCCGCTCTGCGCAGTCGCCTCGAGGCCGACCTCGAACGCCTGGCTCCCTCCCACGCGAGACCGTCGCGCAACTGGAGCGCGTTTTCGGCTGGGCCGACGCCTTCCGCCTGACCCCGCTCCTTTCGTTTTCAGGATGGTCGCTCTTGGCTGGCCCTCGGAAGTGGAGACGGGCTGCGCGTTTTTTTACAACAGTTTGCATAGATGCAGCGAGAGGGGGCCGCACGGCGACTCGACGGGTTCCGTTATGAAGCTCAAAGTGCACCCACCCACAAGCCGCCCTGGATTTTGTCATTTCATTCTATGCTGTTTGGTCCTCCTCGTCCCGAAGGGTTCTGCGCGTGCCGCTGCCGCCTCGCTGGTCTGCGCCGTCGCCTCGAGGCCGACCTCGAACGCCATAGCTCCCTCCCACACGAGACCGTCGGAAAATTGGGGCGCGTTTTTAGCCGGGCCGACGCCTTCCGCCCGACCCCGCTCCTTCCGTTTTCAGGATGTTTGCTCTTGGCTGACCTTCGGAAGTGGAGACGGGCTACATATAGCTATACGACCGCCTTGCGGGCGATAAGGAGGTTGGGGGGGGATTGAGATCAAATGCCCACCCTGACTGACCCACAGAAACAAATCAATTGATGGATTGGGTTGGGTGGAGTGGATTGGGTGGGATAAGATAAGATGGGACAAGACGGGTTGGATCAGAGAAGATGGATTGGATTGGACAAGATGGATTGGATGAGGTAAGTTGGATTGGAAAAGAAAGCCCGCCGCAGGCGCTGAAAAAATGAATTATGAAATTAGCGACATGCGTTAGCGCCGGGACGCCCAGGACACCCGGGTCACCTGGGACACCGCCCGGCCCAACTGGGACACCTCCCGGCCACCGGCGGACGGGAAACGGACTTTCGCTCCTACTGACACCCGGGACACCCGGGACATTGCCCGGCCCAACTGGGACACCTCCCGGCCACCGGCGGACGGGAAACGGACTTTCGCTCCTACTTCGGCCTATCTACAGGAGGATCACGCCCAGCTTCGCCTCGCCCGCACGCGCGACACGAGCACGAAACCGAAACCGATTTCCCGGTGGGGGTTCTCCGTTTCACTGCGATCTCACCCCCCACCCTCCGATACATACATATATATATATATATTTATACACACATAAACATATATTAGCAGGGAAGAACAATGGTTCACGAATCGCGAGAAGATTGGCTCATGGAGTGCGCCATTCAGCGCTCGAATGTTGTGTTTCAAAATGTAGGCGTGGTTGATGCACGGCGCGTTTCGCCCGTAATGCTGAACTTCTTGCGCGCTGGTCTTCTATAGCGACGACGCGTCATTCCCACCAACGGGGCCCCCTGGCATCTTGGTAAGTTCGCAGGTGTCATTTGACATGTTTCGGCCCAGCGCGCGAACCCGTTGCTGTCATTTGCGCGCCTCTCACTTGCGTTCTTTGTTATTCCGCGCTCGCTTGCGCGTCTCACACCTACGCTTTTCCGCGCGTCGCCCAAAAGCCTCGTCTTGTCAAAGAACTGCTTGTCGCGAGACCAACGCACCCATCTCTCGCCTAGATGAGGATGTCTCAAGTGGTTTGCTTGGTTTGGGGTTGTAGAAGTGTTCTTTTCCAGATTTCCTCGATCATCACAATGTAGCGGTCTTAAGATATGGGCAGCCCGAGGGGGGGCCGCCTGGGGGTGGATTACAAGCCCGTTCGTGCCCAGCGTGTGTGGATGTCTCGGGCTGATCGCTTGTTTGGGCAGCTGGACTTGTCTCTCCTCGGACTCGAATGATTTCCGCGATGCAGCAGGCATTGTGCCTGAGCGCCCCAAGGCGGAGCCGCCAGCGGGGGGGGGTGGGGGGCCGTTCGGGTTCCGAGTCTGGAAAGATTTTGTCCAACCCAAGCTCGCAGACTCCTTCAAAACCAGACACCTATAGAAGATCGCGCTCTTGTGGCATGGTGGGTTCCCTGCCAATCACTTGGGACACTGGCAGTTTTCATCGTCGAGTGCATTCTCCGAGCAAACAACGTTCATAGACGAGGAATTCGGCAGACAAAAAAAACGCATGGGGATCCGAGTAATTTGTTTGAAGCTTGCGCGCGCAGGCCTACTAAACTTCTAGTCTTTGGCCGGGTTTTCATCCTGAGCCCGCTTTGGACAGTCATCAGGCCCGAAACCAAACCCCCCAGGGGCCAAATTGGTGAGCCCCGATGTTTTGAGCCGCCAGGTGTCTGAGAAGCCCGCCGCCGGGCCGCTCGTGACGCCGCGTCGAGCCCCGCCGATCCCTGGGCGATCTCCCAGAGCCGCCGACGAACGCACAGCGACTCCCCGCTGGTTGACAGAGCCCTCGTGAACAAGTGGCACGCGTGCCATGGCCCTTGCACATAAAGGAGGGGGGAGGAGCAGGAGGTTGAGGAGGAGGAGGTGCTCCGAGATGAACTCCAAGGTGGCTCGAGGAAACTCAAGGCGGTTGAAGGAGGTGGCCCCCATCATGCTTCTAAGAGGCCCGAAGATGGCCACAAGACGGCCCCAAGTGCTTTCGGAACACCCTCGGGAACCTCCCCAAGAAGCCCAAATCCTTCAACATGTATGGAACATAAACAAGTTGTTCCTTGGCACTTCTTCGCCTCCGATGTGTTTTTGGAGCCTCCAGTTTGGGCTGGCTGGGGGGAGGGCGCGTTGCCGGTGCCGTGCGCGCGTGCCGAAATAATACGGTTGGGGCGGAGGGGGCGCATCGGCTGGGGGGCAAGGGGGAACTTGACTCGCAGGGGGGGGGGGCGCTGTGATGGTGTCGTGCGTGCGAACCGAAATAAAATTGTCCATGCGGAGGGGGCGCGCTGGCTGAGCGGCGAGGGGGAGCTGGGTTGGCTGGGGGGGAGGGGGGGAGCGGTGCTGGTGCTGCGCGCGCGTGCAGAAATACAGCGGTCGGAGCGGAGGGGGCGCGCCGGCTGGGGGGCGAGGGGGAGCTGGCTGGCCAGAGACTGAATACCCGCTGTGCCGGTGTCGTGCGTGCGTGCCGAAATATAGCAGGGGTGCGCATCGATCAGTCTGGAGTGCAGTCAACACTGATAGTGAGGGTGCTCGACTTCCCAAGCGTACCCTTGCATTCTTGCCTCTTCCTTCATCCTCGGTCCATCCCCAACCGCTTTCAATGGCCAGCCCCGCTCGGAAAGCTTCGGCATGGGCGTCCAAGGACCTTACATCCTTATCGCGCATCCTTAGTGTCAGTGTCGCCGCGCCGTTTGTTCCGACGCGCGGCCTTGCGCCTTGGGGAGGGCGCCGCGGCCACCATGGCGATTGCCGCCTCGGGCGCAGGGCTTGCCGTGGGTTCGCCGCGGTTCCGGCGTCGTCTGATTGGGCGCGGGGCGCAAGGCTTGCCGTGGGCTTGCCGTGGGCTTGCCGTGGTGTCGGCGTCGTCCACTTTGGCGCGCCGAGAGCAGACGGCGCGGCCGCCTCTCAGCTTTGACTGAACCGGTGCCCTCCCCGAGAGGGGTCCAGGACCCCCACCCTCGGGCGGGGCTAGGACGAAGAGAGCATTCCGGGACGCTCTGAGAAGGCCGCGGCGCCCGAGACATTTTCCAGCACCGCCGCATCTCAGAGATGCTCGATTTGTCCTCACCCGAGTTTCACCTCGCCGCCTCGTCCTGGTTTCGTCTGAGGGCTCGCGTTCCTGAAGGCAGGCTCCGCCGGCTCTGCCCGGGGCTGTGCCGTTCGGAGGACGCGCCAGGGGGGGCGATAAGTTGGGGGGGGCAAGAGCTCAGAAGGGTCGGGCCCCGAAGTCGCCGCCGCGCCTCGCTGCGCCGCCGCGCCGCGCGTCCCCCCACCCCGAAGCCAGCCGGGCGGCGCACGCGTGCGCGCGCGCCGGCGGCCGCCCCGCCGCGCCTCCGCGAGGAGGCGGGCAGCCGACGGCCCTCGCCGATCGACCACCGACGATTCGCCATGGGGGCCTCTTCCTCCGCCTCCTCCTCCTCCTCCATTCTGTTTCCTTATACATAATTGTTATTTGTCGCACCCCGAGGCCAGTTTTTAGGGCGGGCTAGTCGTTGCGCTCGAGACTTCTTCGCCACTTATGACCCTGAAGCTTGAAAACTGGCAACGGTTTTCACAGATGGAGGGCGGGTGGTATTCAAAATGTGGCTATCGCCGCCTTAGCGCCGCGCACATTCGTTTTCAAAATTTGCAAGAGTTTTACGGATTGAGGGCGGGTAGTTTTCAAAATGTGGTTCTCGCCTTAGCGCCAGGCACATTCGTTCTAAACATTTGCAAGTGTTTCACAGATTGAGGGCGGGTCGTTTTCAAAATGTGGTTCTCGCGTTAGCGCCGCGCACACTCTTTTCAAACATTTGCAAGAGCTTCACGGATTGAGGGCGGTGCCTTTTCAAAATGTGGTTCTCGCCTTAGCGCCGCGCATATTCGTTTTAAATTATTTCAAGAATTTCACAGATTGAAGGCGGTTCTTTTTCAAAATGTGACTTTCGCCTTAGAGCCGCGCACATCCCGGATACAACATTGGAAGTGTTTCACGGATTCCCATGATCGACGTACCAGAAATGTTTGTTCGAAAAAGTTCGCGATTTTGAGGGCTCAACAGTCAGGATGATTCGCGGAGTTGAGGTCCCAGGAATGCCGTTCCGGCACGATTGGGGATCGTCAAGACGCAACAGTCAGGTTCATCCGTGGCGTTGGAATAAAGAGAATAATGTTTTGGTA